GGTCTCCCTCCTCCCCCCTGTGACACACAGTTCTCCTTCCTCCCCCTCTGTGTCACACAGGTCTCCCTCCTCCCCCCTTGTCACACTGGTCTCCCTCCTCCCCCCTGTGACACACAGTTCTCCCTCCTCCCCCTCTGTGTCACACAGGTCTTCCTCCTCCCCCTCTGTTTCACACTGATCTCCCTCCTCCCCTCATGTGACACACAGTTCTCCCTCCTCCCCCCATAAAACACAGCTCTCCCTCCTCCTCCTGTGTCACACTGGTCTCCCTCCTCCCCCTCTGTGTCAAACAGATCTCCCTTCTCCCCCCTGTGACACACAGGTCTCCATCTTCCCACCCTCTGTCACACAGGTCTCCCTCCTCCCATCTGTGTCACACAGGTCTCCCTCCTCCATTCTGTGTCACACTGATCTTCCTCCTCCCCTCCTGTGACACACAAGTCTCCCTCCACCCCTCATGTGACACACAGGTCTCCCTCCTCCAACCTCTGTCACACAGGTCTCTCTCTTCCCCCTGTTTCACACTGATCTCCCTCCGCCCCTCCTGTGACACACAGTTCACCCTCCTCCCCTCCTATGTAACACAGCTCTCCCTCCTCCCCCCTGTGTCACACTGATCTCCTTCCTCCCCCCTGTGTCACACTGATCTCCCTCCTCCCACTCTGTGTCACACAGGTCTCCCTCCTCCCAATCTCTGTCACACAGGTCTCCCTCCTCCCCCCTCTGTCACACTGATCTCCCTCCTCCCCCCGTGTCACACTGATCTCCCTCTTCCCCCTTGTGTCACACTCGTCTCCCTTCTCCCCTCCTGTGTCACACTGGTCTCTCTGCTCCCCTGAGTATCACACTGGTCTCCCTCCCTCCTCCTGTGTCACACAGGTCTCACTCCTCCCCCCTCTGTCACACTGGTCTCCCTCCTCCCCCTTTGTTTCTCACTGATCACCCTCCTCCCCCCTATGACACACAGGTCTCCCTCCTTCCCCTTGTATCACACAGGTCGGCCTCCTTCCCCCTATGACACACTGGTCTCCCTCCTCCACCTGTGTCACACAGGTCTCCCTCCTTTCCTCCTGTGTCACATTGGTCTCCCTCCACCCCCCATGTGACACACAGGTCTCCCTCCTCCCCCTCTGTCACACTGTTCTCTCTCCTCCCCTCTGTGTCACACTGATCTCCCTGTTCTCCCTCTGTCACACTGGTCTCCCTCCTCCCCCCTGTGTCACCGTGGTCTCCTTCATCCCCCTCTGTGTCACACTGGTCCCCTTCTTCCCCCCTTTGTCACACTGATCTCCCTCCTCCCCTCTGTGTCACACTGATCTCCCTCCTCCCCCTCTGTGTCACATTGGTTTCCCTCCTCCCCCCTGAGTCACCCTGATCTCTCTCTTCCCCCCTGTGTCACACTGGTCTCCCTCCTCCCCCCTGTGTCACACTGGTCTCCCTCCTCCCCCCTGTGTCACACTGGTCTCCCTCCTCCCCCCTGTGTCACACTGGTCTCCCTCCTCCCCTCTGTGTCACACTGGTCTCCCTCCTCCCCCGTGTCACCCTGGTCCCCCTCCTCCCCCTCTGTGTCACCCTGATCTCTCTCCTCCCCCCTGTGTCACACTGGTCTCCCTCCTCCCCCCTGTGTCACCCTGGTCTCCCTCCTCCCCCCTGTGTCACACTGGTCTCCCTCCTCCCCCTCTGTGTCACCCTGATCTCCCTCCTCCCCCCTGTGTCACACTGATCTCCCTCCTCCCCCCTGTGTCACCCTGGTCCCCCTCCTCTCCTAATGTGACATGACCGTCCTGGCCTCCTGTGACTCCAGCCCCCTCCGCATGCGCCCCTCCCCAGAGCGGACTGTCTACCTCGCCGCATGGCCCATTGTCCCTCTGCGCCGCTGCCTGGGTGCTGTGATCCCCGTTGTTCGGCGGAAGCGCTGACGGACCCGTGTCGCTGGTGGTTCGGTCACCTGCGTCGTCCCCTCGTGTCTGTGAGGTGTGTGGGGGTGAGGCCATGGGTCCAGGTGAGTTGTCAGGTGAGTGGACGATCCGGGAGCTCGTGCAGGCCGAGGCCAGGTCTGCTGCTGGCAGCGCCTCGCTGAGTGACCGCGTCCTGTCCCTGCCCCGCCCCGCTGCCCGCCCAGCGGCCAGCGCTCTCACCCTCAAAGGGAACCCTGCAGCCCTCGCCTCCCCGCCCCCCCGCTCGCCCTGTGCACCCCTCTGGCACCTGACGGGGGGTCTCCTACCTGTGCCTTCCGCAGGCCTCAGCAGGGTCCTCTGGGCACCCCCAGGACCTGCTGGCGAGGGCTGCAGGGACCCCCCCCGCCTCGGGCCGGGGCCTGGCGCTGCCCGGGCTGGCTGCCCGCTGCCCTGCTCTAACCACTAGCACAGGCGTCCACCCCCATCCGGACGCTGGCTTTGCGCTTCCGGGAGGAGGGTCGCGGCCCGTAGTCAGTAGGTGGGGGGTGAGAATGGCTTCGTACAGGGGTTGGTGCACAGTTACCCTGCTCCTATATGATGCCTTTCTTCATCCCCTTCAACCACGCGCAGCTCCCGGACCCTCCTCTGACCCTGGCTGCGCGGGGCTCCCCTGCTTGCTGCTCCCGCCCTCGCTCGCGCCCCCCGCGGCCCCGACTCCTGGCGGGCGGGCCTGGGCTGGGCCACCTCTGAGGCAGCCTCCGCGGAGGGGGCAGTAGCCGGGCGGACGCACCCCGGCCGTCCTGTGGCAGGCGGGGGGCCGGGGGCCTGGTGGGCCGGAGAGGGACGCTGGCCGGCCCTCGGCTCCTCCTGCGACGGGCCTCCTAGATGACCCAGCGCCCAGGACAGAGGGAGCGCTGGGCGGTGCCTGCTGGTCCCAGGTGGGGGTGGCGTGGACAGAGCAGACCACCTCCCCACGGCCACAGGAGCGTCTCCTCGAGGGGCCTCCGCCTCTACCCAGGACTCTCTCATGACCAGGAGGCTGAGGCCCCTCGCAGGCGGCCGCTCGCCGCCCTTCTCCAGGCCGACGCAGCTGGCTCCTGAGCAGGAGTCCCGCTGCCCCCTGTCCAGCCCTGGGCACCCTACGGTGCCAGCCCGGAGACCGGGCCTGGTGCTGACCTCAGCACCCCCCTGTCTCAGTCCCTGCATGACGGGGCACAGGTCCCTGAGCTTCCGGAACCATTAACCTATTAACCAGCCCTGCAGCCAGCCCGGGCAAGCGCATGGGGCACAGCCCATGGCCCCATGGCCCCTTGGCCCCTCGGCCCCAGCATCCACCTCGGGGCGCCAGGAGCCCTGTGAGCCAGGAGGGCAGCTTGAAGCCTGGCAGCGGCCCTGGGAGGGCGGGAGTGGGTGCTGCAGACCTCGGTGGCGGCCTTGAAGTCGGCCCCGCGCCTTGGTCCCCGGGGGTGCCCTGTGACGTCGCAGGAGCTGTGGGGAGCGGTGCGGCGGGGCCTCACCTGAGAAGGGCCCCTGAGGTGTCACCGTGAGCATGACCCCTGCCCTGCCTCTGCCCAGCAGGCGATCCCTGGGGCCACCGCCAGGCCTGCTGTGTGCCCCAGCTAGGGCCGCTGCTCTTCGGCCTTCGCTGAGCTCAACGCCCTGTCCCGGGGGACGGGACCGTCCGCGGAACTCGGGTCGACGACTCCTCTGAAGTGCACCCCAGCAGTCCCGGGGCCCCCGCTGGGGCCGGGTGAGGCTCTCTTCCTGCTTCTCCTACGGAGAGCAGAGCGGTCCGGGTGGCCCGTGGGGCTTCGGGTTTCAGCCAGCGCAGCTCCTCCCGGGGCGGCCCAGGCCGCGGCTGGCTCGACGTGAACCCGTGCTCCCTGCAGGAGGGCAAATCAGACCTGCGTGGCCAGAGACCACCAGCTGCCCTCAGGGTGTCATGGAATGTTCCAGAAACAGGTCCAGTGTGCACCGGGCCGGGAGCCCCGGAGCCCGGGAGCCAGGGCACAGCTGGGAGAGGGGAGGAAGGCGGCAGGGAGGCTGGCGGCCCTGGCCGGGAGGGCCTGGCCGGGTCGCTGGGTGCCAGTGACCCGGGAGGGGGAGGAATTGCGGGGTGCACTGACTGTGTCCCTGCGTTTTCGCCTTTTCTGTTTGACGTGTTCACCTGGCAGGTCAATAACGCTAACTTCTTTTTCTTTCAGAAGAAATAAAGGTTTGTATTGTGTTTTGGAACAGTTTCTTGGGGTGCCAGGGACAGACAGCCAGTGTTTCTGCCTGGCCAGGGTCCCGGGGGTAAGCCAGGGGCCTGGGCTGGAGGCACGGGGCAGACCCGCTCTCTGCTCGGGGGGCGTCGGGGTCCCCCCCCGGCCGGCTGCCAGGCTGCGTGTGTGCCGTGTGGCGCGTGTGGGATGTGGGTATGTGGTGTGTGTGTGTGTGGCTTGTGTGCTACGCGGGTTGCTGAGTATCTGGAGAGATGTGTGTGGTGTGTGTGTGCCGTGTGATGTGTGTGCCTGTGCCGTGTGCGATGTGTGTGGCGTGTATGAGCTGTGTGCCG